TTTCACCGATAGCTACTACCTCATTGTAACAGTAGGGTTCAACGTTTCGTTATGATACATTAGTATATCCATTTCACCGACAGTTAAGATCTGATTGTAACGGTAGGGTTCAGCGTTTCGTTATGATGTATTAGCATATCCATTTCCTCGATAGCTACTACCTGATTGTAGCGGTAGAATTCAATGTTTCGTTATAATTCATTAGTATATTCATTTCACATATAGCTAGTTTCTAATTTTAACGGTCGGGTTCAACGTTTCGTTACCATACATTAATATATTCACTTTACCGATAGGTACTATGAGATTGTAACAGTATGGTTCAACGTTTCGTTATGATACATTAGTACATCCATTTCCTCGATGGCTACTACCTGATCGTAATAGTAGGGTTCAACGTTTCGTTATGATACATTAGTACACCCATTTCACCGATAGCTACTACCTGGTTGTAACGGTATGGTTCAACGTTTCGTTATGATACATTAGTACATCCATTTCCTCGATAGCTACTACCTAATCGTAACAGTAGGGTTCAACGTTTCGCTATGATACATTAGTATACCCATTTCACCGATAGTTAAAATCTGATTGTAACGGTATGGTTCAACGTTTCGTTATGATACATTTGTTTATTCGTCTCAGAGATAACTACTTTAGTTATAGTTGAGAGAGATGGTTTTACAGAAACGAATCTTCGATAAAGCGATGCCATATCTCTTTAGACTGAGTTGTTTAAGCAATTATTTTAGTAGTTTCCAAAGTATTATAAAGTTCAATTCTTATTAGTTAGGTAGCCGTTTTTACACACACTTTACTTTTTTGTACACCAAACGTTTGAAAGTTGATATTACACATTGGTCTTACGTTTCACTAGCTATGAAAACTATACCGAGTTTGATCGACGACCGTCTATACTGAATGTATGTTACAGTAGAATGAAATTGATTAGGTGCTCCTCATTCGTCTCAGAAGTATGCTTCTAAAGTATGCTCAGAAAATATTTGCATGATTGGTTAAAGAATGAATATATATATAGCCGTTCTGAAAACGTGACAAAATTCCAGGCAAAGAACCGACGCCAGTATACGTAATGATGCAGTACGTAAGTCGGAGTCGTCGTAAGCAGCTAATCTAAGAGATAGGCATTTATATTTCACAAGTGATGAAGACACCTTTATCTGTCTGTCTGCCTGCCACCAGCCGTCTAGAATGTTCTTTAGGCGGAGCAGTACGGCATTCCTTCTGATCAATCGTTCAGCCAAACGCAGCTTCTAAAATGATTGGTTCATAAAGTGAAAAGCAAGTTGGAATAAAATTAAACACACAGCGGGTCTGGCAAGACATCACAACTTGCAAAATTCAGATCCTATGAATATTTCAAATCAAAATTTCGTGCTACAATCTTGAATAACTAGCTAGCGAATAATATTTATTTAGCACACCACAACAAGTACGTTATTTCTGTCGCAATATCTTTTCAATCAATATATATATATATATATATATATATATATATCAGACTTGGAATCTTTTTAGTTATACAGAGGGTTGAGTGCATTATATTAAGATAATTTTGATTAAGCAAATCAGCAAGTCACGTGACAACCACAGTTGATATAAAGTCAGGGTGGAACGGCTTGTATCAAAACTACATTATGATATTGCTTGGCATTTCGTATGTAATGTAATGCCAACGAAAACTGATCGATTTGGGGAAAGGTTTGTAACAGCCCTTCCCGACGTAAAATATCCATATATTCAGATCATAAAGATGTGTCCAGGTTGTGGATTTAGAGTCTCCAAGATAGGAATGTTCTTATACTTAATGACATTGGAAAACAAAGAAATGTTAAGGTATTAAGATCATCTTGAAAGAGACCTGCAAAGAATGAAACGAGTATTCGTGCTATTCCACACGAAGACATATCGGTCAAGTCACTGGATACAGTGCCTATGGTTTTGTGCGATTAGATTGTCGAAGTGAGTTCTGGGAAACTATCATCCTTGTACAGTAGATGGATTATGGTAAACCAGTAGGGAGAAGTGTTGGACATGACAGCGTCGCGATGGAACCTTTTGCAATGGAAGCCACGCTGCAGGGCTATTGCCGGTATTCACAGTCGTCAGTGGGGACATGACAGGCCGTATCGATATGGACTGTAATGACATACTCAACCTTCTATTACATTTTTTTTTACATAGGAAGTGAGTAGTGTCAAAAATGTTAAGCCTTAAACAATTTACAGCAAAGTTTTGCCAGTTTAATTTCATTTACTATTCTATAAGTTTTAGATTGCTTGCTGATATTAGTTGAATTTCTAATTCAATCAAAAATTGCCAAAAGCGATAACCTATAAACACGGTGACTTGGGAATTGTCAATTACTAAAAGAGAGACAAATACAATTCTTAATTCATATTGCAAATTCTACATACAAGTTAAAAAATGAAACGAAAAATAGGATTTCAATTATCAAACATGTTTTATACGAATATTTAAATACCCATACAAATGTCAATACTCTAGATTCTATGTTAAAACGCACTACATCCAATAGTCATGCTGCGATTTATTTTGTTTATTGCTAAGCGCAAAGCTACATAATACGGTGTCTGTGCTCTGCAAACCGCGGGAATCGAAACATGATTTTTAGCGTTATAAACCTTCAAACTTACCGCTGAATCACCAGAGGCCGTCTTTTTGTGAGAAATTACACCCACTTACACCCACTTAAAGCTCGTGCTCTCATTTGTCTATAAGCACGATAAAGCTTAATCGGATTTCCAGTATAAATTTAAGCATTTCGATTAATTACTCAGGCGTACTTAATACGACTCACATTCAGTTAATTTAATTTCATTACATATTTTTACATAATCATTACATTAGCAGTATTTACAGTTCCCCTATAAAAATGGAAAGGATTGCATTTGTTTATTATTAAAACTAGGATTTTCTTTTCAAAAAGTTACTGGTAAGTTACTGTGTGTTTTTTATAGCAAATATGGATTTGAAATTTTGAATATTTGACGATAAATGCTTCTTCGTTTAAGAAAAACATAATATATGTAACTATGTAATCTAAAACTATGATATAGTTTTCTGATAGGAAACAAAGACCTGATGTGATTTAATATCTGATGCTAATTTGTGTAAGTTATTCAAATTATGAACGATATTTGTAATATAAACTTGACAATATATAAAGAAGCATTAATGAGAGTAAGGTAGCCAAATATAGTTGAATAATATGGTCAGTTGGATATTAGCTACTGATAGAAGGTCCAGAAGGTTATGGATGGTGAATGAAATTAAAAATTTGATGGATAGTGAGAAGCAGGTCAATGTAGTGACAGAACATGAAAGCAAGGCAACAAGTTGATGGTAGTTGACAGCAGGTCCATAGAAATATAAGGTACTGGAAAAATGAGGAAAATGGCAAATAGTGACAATAGATCTATGAAGGATGAGAAATGAAAACAAGTTAGTAGGATTATCGCTGATGACATGATTTCAGCAGATGGATGAGATTTTAAAGCATGACAGAAGGGTGGTAACTAATAAGAACAGATTAACAGAGTTAGTGAATGTAAAACATTTCAATTGTTTAAGACAACAGATCAAAGAATGGTAGGATGTGAGAAAAAATAAAAAAGGTGGAGATTAGGGAAAATAAAGAAATAATCTTGAGAAAAAGTACATCAACAGGATTAACATCATGTCAACAGGATGACAGATGACATCATGTCAACAGGATGACAGATGACATCATGTCAACAGGATGACAGATGACATTATGTCAACAGGATGACAGATGACATCATGTCAACAGGATGACAGATAACATCATGTCAACAGGATGACAGATGACATTATGTCAACAGGATGACAGATAACATCATGTCAACAGGATGACAGATAACATCATGTCAACAGGATGACAGATGACATCATGTCAACAGGATGACAGATGACATTATGTCAACAGACATATGGAATGTTAAAGTAAGTTGTGGTGGTGATGACTTGTGACAGTAAGTCAGTGGAGTGATGAGATGTGAACGAGAATGGTTGTTGACATAAGGTTGACAGGGTGATGAGAGATGAAAAAAAGGTTAAGGTGATTAAGATTACTACTAGCATTCTAAAAGACTGATAGAATGTGAAAGGGTCAAAGATCAATACAGTATGGGTAATGATTGCAGGTCAACAGAGTGATGGAAAATGAAAGAAGGATAATGAATTGAGTTATTAAGTGAACAGGGCTTTTGTATAAGAAGAAAGCAAAAGGATGATGGATTATAAACAGTAGTTTAACAGTGGTAAGATATGAGATCAGTTCAAGTAAATAATATCTGATGTTAGCAGGATGTCAGAAGGATGATGAAATGTGGCAGCAACTCTAGAAAAAAAAACAGGATGAGAAAGTAGGCCAATAATATGATAACCAATCATGATAGATTATCAAGTGTAGATTACTCAGAACATTAGTAAGGTGGTGTTATGTGGCAGCAGGGAACACAATTAAGTTTTGTTGAACAAGTAAAAAAAAGTTGTAGATGATGGTTTTTTTAGATTACTAAAAAAAAGACAGACAAAAAAAGGTCGCCATATAAACCAGAAGTATAAGGAGAAGGAACTAAATATTGAAAAAAATCTTATTAGAAACATTAATAGTGTTTATCAATAAAGAAAAATGAGTGAAAAATATATTAAGGGAAAAATTGGTAAACAAAAATGATATAGAGGTGAGTTGTGTAATAATGATGATCAACATGGAATTGTGTAAATAAAATAAGGTTTCAGAACAGTGGTAAGAAGGGTAAGAAAAAGCTGGCACACAATCCATAATGTACAGACAAAGAGACTTGCTTTAGAGAACTAATTACCTTATGAAGCAAAGTTCAAACATAAATACTCATCCACAAAAACAACGTTTATAGTTCTAACTGTCATAGGCAAACAAATATTCAAAGGTGCAGATATAGAAAACTTACCCCAATTTGTGTAACAGGCGTTGTTGGTATGACTTAATATTCCTGTGTATCAGGGAGGTAAAAAAAATACCAAAATAAAATGAGAGGAGAAAACAAAAATCAAAACCATCATAAGAAAAACTGCATGCAATTTGAACTCTACGTCATGTCTTTTTATTACTAGTCTAAAACATTCTATGCAATTTTAAACAATTTGTATTTTGAAAGTTAAATCAATGGTTTAATAAAGTGCTACAACAAAAATTAAAAAAAAAACATGCTGTAATTTTGCCATTTCAATAAAAACACAAAAAGTGGTTGTCATCAAAGCAAATTAAAAAAACAACAAATAGTTTATACATATATACCAATTGCAATAAAAACGTATTTCACTAGCAAGGGAATAAACCTGATGAAAATTTAATAAAAGTACAAATGATTTAACCACCAGAGATAAAATAACTTAATTGTAGTTCTTAGAAATATAAAATAACATAGTATTAAATAAGATGATAAAGTTAAGTTTCAGAAATGAAACAACAATATTATTTTTGATATAATTTTTCAAAATTAATTTAAATGAAATAGTCTAATTTGGAGCTAGGTTATTCAATTTAAACAATTTGTTAGTCAATCCAAAGTAACAAACATATATTTTCACATATCAAGTTATGTTTCAAGAAACAACATAATTTCAGAAACTTCTTGTTTCTTTATAAGTCAAAAAAGTGAAAACTTTTAACATCTTTAACTTGCAAAACTTTTTTCTTCCTACTAGAAATTCAAGAGATAAATTCTTCCCTTGCAGTTATATTTACTTGTAATCAAAACTTAACAAAAATGGCATAATTAAGGTTTTCGTAGTTTAATATCTAAGCCTCATGATAAATTTATTGTAGCTTTGAAAAGATTATTTTCAATCTTAGAGCTGTTTATAGGCAACTTTGTTCTTCTCTTTACTTCATATGAATTCACTTCAGATTTAGACAACCTTTTCTTAAGTCATATTTTAAAATGCTAATAAGAGAAACTGATCTAATAAACGTAAAACTTGATTTGAGATCTAATATACTTGACCAATAAGTAAATGTAACCAATCCTTATACATTTTTCAAACGCTTGAGCATTTGAAAAAAAAAAATATCCTCCCCTGTAAAACTTCTTATTTTGCCTGACTGTAGAGTATAAAGGAGAAGTCAAGCTTGAATTTATAAAACTTTTTAATTGTTACCATTTATTACACTTGTTTTATCGTTTATGTAAAAACCACCATGGTCAAATTGTGACTGTCTCACAATATTGCGATTTAAGTAAATAACATTTTACAATGGAAAAATCTGCGTATATATTCCAGTACAATGTTCAATAAGGGTGCGGTGGAATATCAACTGTATTACAGAGCAGGTTTGAATCCCGTCGCTGAACATGGCTACTCTTTCAGCCATGGAGGTATTATAATGTGTCGGTAGATCGAACTATTCGTTGGTATAAGACTAGCCCAAGAGTTGGTGATGAGTAGTGTTGATTAGCTGCCTTCCTCTAGACTTTCAGGGCTAAATTAGGGACGACCAGATGTAGAGGAAAAGGGCATTACCAGATAAATTATGGCCGAGATTAGCATCTAGGATTTCCCAAGTTAGCATCTAGGATTCCCAATGGTCGTAAGCGGCATCGTTCCCCCCATTCTCACCCCCCAAAAAATATCTGTCACGTGTAGGGTGTGTTACAGTGCGAGCATGATGTAGCCTCGACAATAAGAGGGCAAATTTATGTTATTTGATAAAAAGGTTAAAACTATCGCTGCATTTAATTTAAAATGGGTTAATTTTTTTTCATGGTATTCCATAATGATAAATAAATCAAAACTGCAAAAATATGCTAATATATATGGAGTCTTGGAGATAAGGGTGTCGACTACGAAAAAGACAATAACTGTAACCATAATATTACTCATCTTTTGAAACTTTACACGTAAACGGAGAGAAACTTGTATTTACTGTTTTACAAGGAACAGATTTCGCTCTAGCAATCTAGTGTTGGATTATTACAGAAAACAGGTATTAAATAGACATGTAAAATACTGTTATCAAACAGTGAGAAAAATAACTGTTCCAAATAGTTTTTTATAAGTCAAAACAAGAAGTCCATGGATTAAATCATGTAAATCCGTAGACAAAGAAAACAAACTCAATCGTAAATCTCCGTGATTCATTCGTTTTCTCTAACAGCACAGTCTCTAACTGCTAGATTTCCAGTCCGTTATCTCAAACAAACATTCAATACAAGTAATCTCTCCCAGGACGGCCTTGATGAGATATTTCTCTATATTTGAATTTATATATTATGATGAAAATGTAAATGGAACTTTTTTCTGTGTGTTTGTTGTTATAATAATGTAACAAAATTAATCGAATACCATAAAAATTGTCGTGTGACATGTAATGAATTTCTGCTATTGCCTGTGTTAGTGAATAATCTAATTATGTCGTCAATGTCATCTAAAAGGTCAACGAATAGTAAACTAAAATGGGTAAGTTATACATTACCAGCTATATTTAAAATTGTAAATTTGTATAAAATTATCATTTATATTCAGATATACTATGTTATCCGAAAGAGCAAGGAGTAAACTTAGTAATTAGCGTGCCGGATTATTAACAAACTTAGTAATTAGCATGCCGGATTATTAACAAACTTAGTAATTAGCATGCCGGATTATTAACATAAAAGTCCATGTTTTGCGCCCTACTGCCGTAAAATAATGTTTCGCACAATTTTGGGGGCTAAACAAATGCCACTATTCGACAAGAATAACCCCAAAATTCGTGTTTACTGCTGTTGAATAGCTGCTTTCCCACAAGCTTATCAGTTCAAACTTAGGGACTGTTAGCGTAGATAACTCTTGTGAAGCTTTGCGCGGATATTCGAAACAAACTTACCAGAAAGAATGGATATTTCAAAATGGCATACTTCAATTAGCTTATATTTTCATGAAACTCCGCAACTCAAATAGTTGGTTGAAAATTAGAACAGAGAGAGCTTACTCTCGATTTTATTATAAATTCAAATCATATGAGCAATTATGAAAGTGTGATTTATCACATCTATTTATAATTCATAATGATACAAAAGAAAGAATTCTCACCAATTTAGTGAAAAAAAAAAGTCGTTACATTAATCAAGCAACTGGAAAATGAGACATATATTAATGGTATTCCATACCAAGACATATCAGACCCAGAAAAGTCAAACGCAGCGCCTATGACTTTCTAAGAGATCAGATTTGAAACGAGCATTGGGAAACCGTTGTCTTCGTACACTAAATGGCTTATGGAAAGCAGTCATGAAGGATGCGTGCGCTTTAGAATGACAGCTTAACGACAGAATCTTTTGCAATGGAATCTAGGCTGCAGAGCTATTGTCAACATGTTATTATTTAATTTCAAGCAAAGCTACTCAAGGGCTAATTGCACTAATAATCTCTAATTCTGAAGAGATTGATTAGAGGAAAGGCAGTTAATAAACACCACTCACCACCAATTCTTAAGCTACTCTTGTCAGATAAAATAGTGGGATTTGAACGTCACTCTTATAACGCATCCAAGGCCCAAAAATGAAGAGTGTGATTTTGTTAATAAATACTGTCGTCATATAGAGCATGACCGATCGTTACGACACAGACTGTAACGACGAGGTGAGGCTCCAAATTCGTTTTATTATATTGTACTATACCTCTGTAGCACTAGCATGTTTATTTAAAACGTTCAAACTTGCACTTTAACCCTTATTCTTTTGTTTGCCTAGCGTGTTGAAGGCCCGGCATAGCCAGTTGGTTAGGGCGCTGGACTCGCAATCTGAGGGTCGCGGGTTCGAATCCCCGTCACACCAAACATGCTCGCCCTTTCAGCCGTGGGGGCGTTATAATGTGATGGTCAGTTCCACTATTCGTTGGTAAAAGAGTAGCCCAAGTGATGACTAGCTGCCTTCTCTCGTCTTACGCTGCTAAATTAGAGACGGCTAGCGCAGATAGCCCTCGTGTAGCTTTGCGCGAAATTCAAAACAAACAAACTTGTTGAAACTTTCACTTTAACCTTTAGTCTATGTTCATCTTAAACCTTCTCGCTTTTTCTAATGCTTAATCATGTTTTCGAAAGATCAGAATGGAAATTTTTATGATTTAATTCATCAAAAAGGAAGACTTAATCTAGCAGTTAATAGCTTTTCTCTTTCGTGTATGAAACCATTATGGCCAACGTAGCTTCTTATGTAATTCAACAGTAGATATACAAAGACGCATATTGCTTTACTGGGAATAAATGGGACAGTGTCACGCACATTGTTATGCTATGTTATCTACGGAAAATAAAAATATACCCGTCACAAAATGTGTAAAAACAAAAACATAAAACTTCTGTAACTCCAACAACATGCACAAAAAATAAAAGAGCGCATGCCTGGCGAAAAAAAAAAACATGTATGGTGCAAAGGAGCAGTTTCTACAGCATATTCTACTTTAAAAGTTTCAACAAAGTTTGAAGACTGATAATTCAATAGAAGTGTGTGGTGTTTAAGAAAAACATCAAAAAAATCTGGTCTTAGAAATTCAAGGTTACTATGGCAACAATAATGAAAATCCCCATGCAGAGTCAAAGGATTGTAAGAAATAAAGGGGGGCCTTCTACTAATTTCACTGAAAAACAAATCGGGATTTAAATATTTTGAAAAATAACATATTACAAAACTAATCTTACTGACTTATGTTATAAATGTTTGAAAAACAGTCAGAAGGAAAAGAAGTCGATCATTATCTACGATTTACACCCAAAGCGTGATGAAAACCTTCAAGAAATACCATCTGTTTATGGTGTTTCTGTTGCTTTTCACAGAGGGCGTAGAGACAGGATGTCTGCATTAGTTTGTAACTTTGTGCCTTGTTGGCTACGAGACTATTTAACATGGCGGGTTATTTTAATAATGATTTGATTTAGTAACATCAAAGTTAATAGGTATATTCCTCCACACAGTTTGATTGAGCATGTTCTGAAGGAGTCAAACAAAGGTTT